TGAAAACGAAAATATACCTGGTGGAAACAGTAAGGCATCGCCAACATTCCAACACCGATGCTACTGTTAACTAGGTTAACGACGGAAGGCAGGAGATCTCTAAATTTCTAAGAAGCTTTTGTTATAAGATATTTTTCCTTACCATCACTCAAAATGCTGCAGATAATTAGGGAACCTATACGGAAAATTGGGTAACATTAAAACTTTATAAATTTTCTGCGTGCAATACTTAAACAATATACTTCTTTATGGAAATATCAATAAATCTAAGACGTGCTTACAAAAACAGGAACAGGATATCAATAATGAGAAAAAATTACGACAGAAATACGTACACGTTCGAAATACGGTGTTTCTGTTTTGGTTTTTCGCTCGAGTTACAGCTCAGTAAAATCCAACTGCCACAGTTCTCGATGCAGCCTAGTGTGTTTACCAGTATCTATTAATCATTCTTTCTTCCGTTTTTTGTCAAATGGTATACGCTTTTTTAAAATGATATAGTTTGCGTTCGTCGAAAGGTCTATGCGCAAGCGGTCGATTTTGACTCCTTGTCACTATTTAGAAGATAATGTAGTGTTCTTTGCTCCGGGGCATACTTATAAAACGCTAAATATTACCTTATGTTACATAGAGCTTCACAAAATGACTGCTTGCAGACCTCCTTTATGAGTTTGCATCATTATGCCTTCTGATGAATCACAGAAATCGTACGTTTGCCGCCTATGATTTCGTGATTGTTAACTTGGGGATCAAAACATAATTTAGATACAGTAGTCGAGTTACATTTTGCAACACGCTGTTTGAACGGCAGCAGGCATGAGGGGTCAGGAGGACAAATCTCCAACGCGAGAAAGCCGCACGCGCAAAAGGCTAACGCGTCCGAACCGCAGCGCTGAGGACACACACACACAAAGGGAACAACGCGTTTAGGCCCACGCTAGATAATGCCGACAGGCGTGACCCCAAAGCATACAAAAGTCGTTTGGCTAGCCTCCCTAGGTCTCGAAAAATTTAAAGAGCAATTGCGAGTGAAGTTTCCTCCAAAACAACCGACACTAGACCGCTTTTTTCAAACGTGTCGCAAATCATTGTTGTGTCTTTGTTATTACGTAAAATACAGACAAACAGCATTCTTTTCTTGTAAATAACC